TGTACAGGCTTCAGAAGTTTTAAGAAAGTCACATTATTCCAGAGGAAATATAAGGACTTCCCAGAGGCTCTGGGGATTATCCGTGACTTTGATCTGTAAAGAAAGTGACACTGGGGAGTGACCTTTGAATTGTAATAGTTCTAGCAATGCAGGAATTTACCTCAAATCAACCTAGATTTGGATAGGTGGACCTCAATGCCTTTGGTTCTGAAGAGATCTAAACAAAGACAAATTTTCCCTGTCTACTCTGGAAAGATACTCAGTCTACCGGTAGACTCCTCTGATGATCAATGGCATAGAAATAGAGAAAATGCCTTCTTGTCACATGCTAACTCTTTGGGATAAGATGATTTTCCCATCTGACTACGTTTTTCATGTTGATTAACTCCAGGTGTAGAATATGTCAGAGCCCTTCGGACTTTTGGCTGAGAGGCTTGGTGGTTGTAGCTTCCTTCTGGGGGAGAAAGAGGAGGAGTCACAGAATCTGAGAGACCTTGAAGATAATCTATGGTAGGCAGCCTCTAACATACCTCCCAGTGATCCCTGCCTTCTGGTAGTCCTGCCTGTGTTACTGCCCTCCCTTGAGTGTGGGCTAGATTAATGACTCAGTTCTGAGGAACAGAATACCTCAAAAGTGCGGGCTGTCACAAAGACTCTGACTTCCATCTTGCTGGCCAGCTCTAACTCATGCTAAAGAAAGCCGGCCACCATGCTGTGAGCTGCCCTATGGAGAGACCCATGTAGCAAGCATCTGAGGGAGGCCTTTGGCCAATAGCCAGCAAGGAACTGGGGCTCTTAACTCCAACCAAGACTCTTACTCTGGGATTCAGAAGACTGCATCCTGCTGACAACCTCTTGAGTGAGCTAGAAAGCAGATCTCTCCATGCCGAACCCTGAGAGGACTTCAGCCCCAGCTGACACCTTACCAGCAGCCTCGGAGAGAGACCCTGAGTCCGAGGCCTCGGCTACTGGGTTGCTGACTCACAGAATCTGTGAAATAATAGATATTTGTTGTTTTAAGCTGCTAAGGGGTTGTTACGGCACCTTAGGTAACTCATAGTTCGTCTAATCCAACTTCTGTAATCTTCGTGTTGTTTGAGACCTGGAGAAATCAGGTACTTTGTCTGAACTCCCACAGGCTTAGACCACAAGTCAGACTCATGAATTCCCAGAAGGGGCTCTCACCAATTTATGATGTCCTCCTGCAATTTGGCATTATGGAAACTGGCTTAACATGGCCTTGTTTAAACCCCCCTTAAATGAGCCCCCACTTTTTCCTAAAAGGATATCTCCATTTCCAGCTGGCTAGGAAGAGGACAGGACAGTCTGGAGGGCTGGTCTTGAAGCCGATCTGTTTCTTCCATGGCCCTAGGCAGGTGTCCCTACTCCCAGTCAATCCCCATTTCAAGCACTGGACTTTCTCGTCTACTCAGAAAAATTGCCAAATCTTCCCAGATAATAAATTCTAGTATTTTACAGCCTTTCCTCCTGCTACAATTTAGAGTTATCTTGTCCTGCTAATTCTCAGTGGGAATGAGCAGCAGTCTCTCCCCATCCCCATTCTCCTCAAGTCACAGATTCATGCTGCGTGCTGCCTTTAGCTCTAGGCCTTCGGAGGTGAGGAAATGTAGCTCTGGGGGGTAGGGTGGGGGCATGACAGTCCCAGAAGCATGGATAGGATGGGGTGGGATAAGCCTCGGTGAAGCTGGGAGCAAAGGCTAGGGCTGGGCCAGGGAAGTCTGGGCCGAGCAGATGAGGGGACCAAAAGGTAGTCTCTGCTGGGTAGGAGGCAGGTGGAATTGTGCAGTGTGGATAGGAGCAATGGTGTAAGGGTCAAAACCAGACTGGGGAGCAGTTCAGCTACTGGCCTGAAAAGGGCAAGGCCAAGCAGGGGATCGGGAGCTAAGGCCTCAGACACAGGTTATTGGCATCAAGTAGACCTTGATGATACTTGACACGGGGCCTTGATTCTAAAACAGTTATCTGCCCAGGTGGCCTGTTGGCTTCCAGTTACAGCAGGAACCAATGCCGGGGCATGGGCAGTCTTCATTTTCAGCAGCTTTCCACCTCAAACCAAGTGCCCTCACACCAGAGGAAGGAGGAAGCAGGGTCAAGGTTGTTTGCCTTTCATGCTCCACGGATTGGCTCCCCAGTGGCCCTGGGCGTGAGGGCGGGTGCTGGGCAGGGGTGCTGGTGGGTTATGGCATGGTAGATTGTCTATTTTTCAAGTTTCCTGGCATATCTGTGTCTGACAATGACAGGAAAAGAGGGAGGTCTCCTCAGGGTTTGGCTGCATTAGGACTTGGGGAGCAGCAGTTGGTGGGGCCAAGAGGACAGCTGTTCTTTAAGATTCCAGACAGATCCACGGCAATTTTTGACTCTGGAAATATTAGCAAGCAAGAGAGACGGGCTACGTCTTCCTGCCACCTGGTGGGTCCTCTAGCTAATTTGTAGACCATCTCTAAGCCTCTGGTTCCTAAAATGACCTTTACATGGAATGGAGCAGGGGTCACAAAATGGCAGCCCATACTGGATCCTACCCTCTGATAAACTTTATTTGATCCAGCCCAGTATTTCAAAAAAACAATAAAAAAAAAAATTGGAGCCACTTAAAAATCAGGATACTTTACTCACATCCAGATTTTTGGCTTCTCTGGCCACATTAAGCCTCATCCCTTATGACATATGACACTGAGGCAGGGGCCTCCTTTAGATGGAGAGAGCGCCCCCTCCAGGTCCCGGCTTCCAAGGTTCTCCCTCACACACGATACAAGCATGTGTACTAGAACCCTGCCTGTTTCACTCATCTACCTTATTTTCCCGGCCCCTGTGGGCATCGGGTATTTTACTCCATAAAACTGAAGGATCAGGCATCATAACACAAAGAACAAAATTCCTACACTTCAAATGCATTTTTGATACCTGGGAAAGGATTTTCATAATCTCCCTAATTACACGTCTGCTCCATTTTATTCTTTCTTCTGTGTTGTACTTTCAAGAGCTCTCATAATAGAAATTGCAAGAGCCAACTGCACTTATATAATTAGCATAATATTGGTCAAGATAAATTAGCTTTGCACAAACATCAAATGAACAGAGGGAATCATTTCTCATTAACTGGAAGAGGTCATACAGTGTCGATTATATGCAGTTTGGTCAAAAGTAATCTTCTCTGATTAAAATAGAAATAAAGTAGCTGAATTATAATACCAGAGCAGCTGCTAAGTCACTATTGATTTCTTCAGGAGACAAGGGAGTAATGATCATTCCTGAGTCTTGTCCAAGAAGAGGCACAGTAAGTTTTCCATCCAGTGTCAAATTATTTGCTATTTAAATGAATATTCCTAAACTTGATAAATTGGATTATTTGCTTCTGCTCCCCATTGTGTTTTTAATGTGAAACTTGGATGATTGCACTTAACTAGAACTGCACAAAACAAATCCCCACACACAGATGTTCAATGTAGTCTAATTTAATTTAAAAATGTGCTTCTCGAAAAGGTCACTTGGAATGAGTGAATTCCGGTTTCTAGTTTGGCTTAATTGCTATTTTGCTCTGTAATAATCCTGAGCAGGTAGTTTCCTTCCTGGAAATCCTCTCTGGGAATCATGGACATAAGTGCCTGAGCTCTACTCTACGTCTGCAACAAAGGCCTTTTTAAAAATAAGGCTGAGGCACAGGGAGAAAGACGATGAGAGCATGTTGCCTGCAAACCCCCTTGAAAGTGTTTAGCGTTACAGTCACGTCCGTCCTCAAGGTACTCCTTTGGCTGCCACAAGCGTTTGTGGTTTGTGGAGAATCGCATGAGGAAAGGTAGTTAACTTTTAAAAAAGTAGGTGAATTAAAAAAAAAAACAACCCGTAAGTATCAAAGCATAAGAAAATAGATCAATGCAGTATTTCTAATTCGAATGAGGGACTGATTTTCTTTTTTCCTTTTTTTAAATTTTTATTTTTAATTTTTTTAATGTTTATTTATATTTGAGAGAGAGAGACAGAGTGTGACTAGGGGAGGGGCAGCGAGAGAGGGAGACCCAGAATCCGAAGCAGGCTCCAGGCTCTTAGCTGTCAGCACAGAGCCCGCCGGTGGGGCTGGAACCCACGGATCAGATCACAACCTGAGCGGAAGTCAGACACTTAACTGACTGAGCCACCCAGGCGCCCCTCGAATGAGGAACTAGTTTTAAAAAGGATTTAACCAGGAACTTACCACTTATTTTGTTACTCGAGCATATACCCTGTGGCAGTCTCTGTGGGTAGGCAGGTTATATATATACCACAGTCTCTGTGGTTATATGGCGTGATTTGGGGGTACCAGCAAAATGATTGCCCCCCAGGAATCGAATCCACGTGCACTTGCTGTGACGGTGCCCTGTGTTAATTTCATCGAAAGACAAGTAAGGAGTCTGCTGCGATGCAGGGACCTGGCCTAATAAATATTGATAACTCTCAGTCTGAAGTTCTATTCGATGGCTCCGCTGCCTGCCTGCCATAGGGACGGAGACCTCAGTAAGGGTAATTCCACACTGTGTGCGCGAGATGGACGAGCACAGTGAACACTCAGCAGCTGCACGTGTGCGAAGACCACCCAGGAGACAGCACGCGTGCCTCCTCTCACGCCTCCACCACACTCATCCCACCCGTGTGCAGGAACTGCCTCTCTAATCTCACCCCAAGCATCTGATTTGTTTCTGTTTCTCATGTGATGCGAATTTAAGGGTTTTTTTTCTCCTTCCTGTTCAGAAGATATCACTGGATACATGCGCTGTGGGACGTGGGAGACGTTAGAATCCTAGCGCTCATCCCGGCAATTCCTGTTATTTTTCCATTCCAAGCATGAACGTTTACCTCCAACAGAGCCAAAGTTGCAATGCTCAGTTCTTTATTGTTTTCTTTTAAATAATTCAGACTTGAGGAGAGGTGCAGTTTTTAAAAAAGAAAAAAAAAACTCAAAGTAAACAAGGGGAAGACTTATTATTTTTTTGGAAGACTTATTTTTTTGTTGACTTGTTAGCAGGGGCACTTGCGCTGGTGAGGGGGGAGGACCGAGAACCCAGGGGGCTCCCTGGACAGCACCCAGTGGCCATCAGCCTGCCTCGCCCCTGGGAGCGAAAGCCGGTCGTAGCTGCAGCAAAAAGGGATGTTTCCTCTTCCTCTTCATTCTTTCCTTCTGAAAACAACCTTTTCCTGACCGAGGACTCAGAGAGGGTGGGGCACATTTTCTCTCCTCTGGCTAGAAAAACACACACACAGTGCACCCCCAGCTACTCCTTTGTGCTTCGTCACAGCCTCCCTTTTCTGTCTCTCTCAGGGGAGGAAGAAGCGGCTACCCCCAGTGTCCTTGACCATCGGGGTATCACTTCCCAGCCTAGTCCAGTTTCCAGGATACCAGCCCCACCCCAGGCTTGGCAGGGAACCCCACCCCTGTTTAGAGCATGGAATCTTGAACACTGTGGAGCCCCCAGGACTTGCTCTTTATCACTCTAGGGGCATTTTCTTTGAATGCAATCCAGTCTCTCAGATTCCCACGTTCCAAGAAGCTGCTCTCTGTCCGACAGAACATTCTGTTGCTGTTCACTGTGAACCAGTCTTATTTTGTTCTTTTCATGAGGGAATGTTTCCATCAGGGGCCTGTGAGTCGAAAAGGCTCGCTGCTCAGAATGAGGGTGGCTTTGTCTCTCCCCACTTCGTGACCTCTGTCAGGAGTTCCTTTGAGGCTCCAGACAAGACGTAACAGAGAAGTGCCCAGAGCCGTGCTGATGAAATTTTGAGATTTGCAAAGAAACTACTAGCCAGGCTGCCTGGATGTATTAAAATGTCATCTCTACAGTTTGGCCATGACTGGCTTGTTCAGTTAATGCTAGAGGGGAAAACAGAGTTTGTTCTCAAGGGAGAGAAGCAGACGGAGAAAACAGGCACATGAACAGCTGACAGTGTTCCAGCCGCTTTGTCACAAAGAGCTGAATCCACCATTATTAGAACCAAAAATCATCACCCAATTCGAGTCCCTTGGGAATGATGCTGGGCTGGAGCAGAAGTGGCCGAAGCCCCCTCAATATGGAGGCCAAAAGCTAAATTCTATTCTTTTCACTTGGGTTTTTAGGAAGGGAAGTAGAGCTTCCTAATATTTGTTATACATTAAGTGTCAGGCACTAGGCTTGGTGTTTTTATGCATACTATTTAATTCTTAGAGCCACTTGGAAAATAGGTATTATGACTGCTGGGTGTCTATGAAGTTGATTTATATTTATTTACCTTCACATCCTTACTTGGTCAGGTAGCTACTCAAATGTCTGCTTTGGGTGATGTTCCCAGGGTCATGGGATCAAGCCCTGCTTTGGGCTCCGTGCTGAGTGTGGAGCCTGCTTAAGATTTTCTCTCTCCCTCTGCGCCTCCCCCCTCCTCTCATGTGCATGCTCTCTTTCTCTAACAGCAGCAGCAGCAACAACAACGACAACGAAACCAAATGTCTGCTTTGACAAGCCCTTCCTGAGCCCCCAGTCCATAACCACAACACCTGCCATTCTCTCTCTCATTTGTATGGCCCCTTTGATGTTGTAACCTTCTGCATGAATTCCTCCCAATTCCAATTTGTTAATCCTCTCTGTGCAACTACATTTAGTTTGGAAACTACCCTACAGTCTTTAAAATTTTTCAATGGTTATATTTTTCTTCCTAATTTCTAATTTTATATCCACCCGTACTTATTTGTCTGTTTTAATGGCATAATAGATCACTGGCATGTATTTTTTGTAAGGATGTAATGCCTTCGTTGACCTCTTCAAGGATTCTAAATGCACACATATTTTCAAGTCTTTTTCAAAATTTTTTATTATTTTTTTCTGGAAAAACTCATATTACAGTTATTGATTTTATTGGCTGTTTCTTAGTATTAGCTTTATGAATTTTAAAACTGAGTTTATAGGATCATCATATGTAAGAGTGTTTTCTCCCCTGCCTTTCTTTTTCTTTATGTATTTCTCTATGTATTTCTGAACATGGGGTTCTTGTTTGAGCCTGGTTCTCTTAAAAGGCTAAGCTACACCTCAGGCTTCCTTTCACAAGCCAGGGAAGCCCTGCCCCAGTTTCCGGTTGTGAGCTCTGAGCATGACTCTGGTTCCCGTGCCTCCCACAGAGCTCCTTTCCCCTCTGGCGGGCTTTTATCCGCAGAAGCCAAACTCACAGTTCCTACTACCTACTTCCAGATCCAGAGCCTCAGATCAGCCCCTCTTTGCTTTGCATTTTGATTCTGTTCCAGGACTGAGGACATATATGTATCTCATTTTTGAGTGTGAATATGACTTATAAAATTCTCTTTCTCATGTTCATTATCGTTGCTATGTGTCAGATCAGAGGGGGCTTCGTAGCATTCACTTACAATGCCATTGAGTCTGGTGACTGGGAATAGGAATTGGGAAACATTGATAGAGGGGAAGAATTGGGAGGCAATTAGGTTGAGGCAATTAGGTACAGGTTGGAAGAGTAAAGAACCTGAAGAAATGATGAGTTCAAGCATCACTCGTGAGTTGATGTGCAGGAACCCTAGTTATTAAGATGGAAAGAAAAACCATGAAATTTGAAGTTGGGTTGAATGGCCATGACTTCCCAGGTCCTCCTTCTCCTTCCTTCCTCTCAAACTCCCTCTCCTTCACCCCCTTTCATGTTGGTGATCATCCCTAGGGTGACCAGCCATTTTAGTTTGCCTAGGATGGTTTTGGTTTTAGCACTGAAATCTTGCTTCCTAGGGAAGCCTCAGTCCTAGGAGTCCGGGATGGTTGGACACCTTAACTCTGTACCATTCACTTTGTGAGCACTAATAGAAGACCTCTAATACCAAAATTAACCTTACGAAGGGGTGAGCTTGAGAGACAATAATGGGAGGGGTAAGAAACAGAAGTAGGCAATAGGCCTCTGTAGTCTTTGCTTGGATAGAAGAAGCCACAACCCAAGAAATACCTTTCACTCTGAATTCAGTAGAAATAGAGACTAGAAAGGGATGTTTGAAGTCTGTGATTCTCAGAATTTACTTGCTTGGAGAAATTTGAACCACCAATGCAAATGGTGTTTGTAATTCCTTTTATATTGGATTCAGAAATTACTTGCTTTCACAAAGGAAGATTGTATAAGTATTATTTGATTTGCTTTCTCTGTAGTCTTCTTCAATTCAGTAAGTCATGCTGTCATTTTTAAAGTATGTTGTATTGGATAATATTCCATTCCATTGACTCCATATTTATTATCAGTGATCAGAACCAGACCTCATTTTGTGCTCGCTTCAGCAGCACATATACTAAAATTGGAACGATCCAGAGAAGATTAGCCTGGCCCCTGCGCAGTGATAACACACAAATTTGTGAAAAAACATACGTCATTTCACTCTTTTCAAAGTACCTTTATCTTAGAAAAGCACCGGTCAGTTCTACAGCCACCATCACTGCAGCTAAAAATAATGCTGCCAAGGTTGCCCTGGACTGTCAGCAGCAGTCATTGCTAACACAACACTAATTCTGTTCGGGTGGTGGTGGAGGTGGGTGGTGTGTAGCAGCAATATCCCTTGACTTGGGGAATGAATTAAGGTTGATAAATCCAATCTACTCATGGTTACACGATTTCTCTTTACAAAATGCTCATTGTTCCATCCTCCTTTGCTGCTAGGAGTAAAGTGTTACAAGCTGGGACCAATGAGGCATAAAGTGAAAGTTGGCTGGGAATTTTCCAGAAACTGTTTGCTTTTCTAATAAAAGGGACAGACTTGCAGAAAAGCTTGCTGTGATCCCTTTCTCCTCCTTCCCATCTGGAATATGGATGTAACGCCTGGAACTAAGGTAGCCACACGAAGTCTGTGAAGCAATACACATTATGAAGAAAAGCAACATGCCTATTAAGTCAGAGTGTGAAGGAGAGAGAGAGCCTGAGCCTTTGATGATGTGGTTAGACCATCCCTGAGACCATACCTCTGGACTTCTTGTTTAATAAAAACAAATGTCCTTACCACTTAGGCAGCTGTTGATGCATATCCCTTTACTTGCAACTAAAAATCAATTTCATACTGAAAAGCAAGGTGAATAATGCATAGTGATGACACATGGGCATGGACATGGGATAAAAATCGCCAGACTTGTCATGGTTTTTGGTAGACTGTTTTTTCATTCCATAGCTCTTTATATACTAAACAGGAAAGCAAGAATACTCTTTTTGTCCCCCCTCAGTGCTCAATGATAATTAAGTTTCAGAATAAACAAAATGTGCTATAATGTGCTCTCACTGCAGTGGCTATGGAGGGATGAGACATGTGATTCTATATGATGCCACATTAAAATCCTTTTGTGCATCTTAGAAATATAATGTCATCTGTGCCATATTGTTTTAGGGCAAAAGGAAATAGACTGATGGCCAGAAGAGCCTCCAGGGCAATGTTTTTGCTAGGAGGCTAGACTAAACCCCCCACAAGAACAAGACAATTGCTGACAGTGGGCTGGGAGGTGTAGCCATGAACCCACTGCCATCTATAGTGCTCAGCCAATGCTCAAGTGGATAGTGAGCCCAACCCAAGGCAGTCCAAATAGCTTCTCTGTTGGTAGGAGGATAGATCCTACCTTGATCAAAAGGATGGGTAAAAGGGCAAAAAATGAATTATGTGGGGAAATGCTGTAGAACAAGGTAAAGGGAACATCATCCCAAAGGCTCAGAGTAAGAATGAGCCTCTGAAAATGATTTATTGCAAGAACCAGAAGATGTGGGGAAATGGATGGTATCCTTACTATACAGGAAAAAAAAGGAGGAAAAAGTCAGAAAGGAAGAAAAAAAACCACAATAGAAACCCAAAGAGGGGCACCTGGATGGTTTAGTCGGTTGAGGGTCCAACTTCGGCTCAGGTCACGATCTTGCAGCTTGTGAGTTTGAGCCCTGTGTTGGGCTCTGTGCTGATGGCTCAGAGCCTGGAGTCTGCTTCAGATTCTGTGTCTCCCTCTCTCTCTGCCCCTCCCCTGCTCATGCTCTGTCTGTCTGTCTGTCTCTCTCAAAAATCAATAAACACTAAAAGAAAGAAAGAAAGAAACCCAAGGAAACAAGTCTGTTAAGAATGAACCCCTAGATTTTTGAACATCCTTAACCTCTGAGTACCTACTGTGCACCAGCACTACCTTGGGGCTCAGTGATGGCTAAAGCATAGCTCCTGACCACCAGAGGTGCCATGATCCCATTCCAACATAGTAACTTATCACAAATTGAATT